GTAGTCTTTGTAGTTGTTTTGATGGTTGTGGTTGGAGTAGTCTTTGTAGTTGTTTTGGTGGTTGTTGGTGGAGTAGTCTTTACAGTTGTTTTTTGAGTAGTCCTTGTAGTTGTTTTTGGAGTAGTCTTTGCAGTTGTTTGTGAGGTACTTACTTTTGCCGTCGTACTTTGCAGATCGGCAATACCTAAAAAAAAATTATTAATAATACAGTTTTATTTAACATCGTTTTACTTACCAATTAAAATAAAAATAATACAGAAAAGGAAGATACAGTTTTTCATGTTTTACTTTAAGTTTGTTTGTAATAATGATTTAATAAATCAGCATCTCTGTATTTATATATAAGATCTATCTTTTAATGATTAATCATTTATCACTAAACTCTAGAATAAATTGACTGATGTAAAATTGATAAGAGCAATGACGTATTTTTTCTTCGACGTCATATTAATTTCTAAACATGGTGTAATATACGAAAAAGAAAGAAAAATATTTTAATTCATCTTCTCTTCGTTTATCTTTTCCTTTTGTTTTGAAAGCGTTGTTAAAAAGATGCGTAATGACATCATGCACTTTTATCAGATAAACTGAATATTTGTTTATGAATTATTTTCTCTTCAATAAGTACCAGGTGAATTTCATTCAATGTTGTCAAAAACGGCTTTGGCCTAATCTTAGAAAGTAACTACTAGTTATGCTTCTTATCCTTATTGAAAGTCTGAATATACCCATGGTCCTTCGTTCACACCACTTCCGATATATTTGTACTTACACTTACCGTATCTGCATATTTTTATTCTAAATTGATTCGATAAATCGAGTTTAAAAATGATTCCTGAAGTACGTTTCCGATTGTAATTCATAAAAGCTGTCTAAACAGCAATATGACGTGATTACAAACAAGCTTTCAGCTTTTTTAGTTAGAATAAAAGGATCGAAGGAAATGCTACATAAAATTTCAAGTGAATTTGTTCGTATGTACTGCATTTGTACCATCTAGAATATGTGGATCTTGATGACAGTGACAAAAGAATATAATATCCACACCGTCAAACAGGATATCATCACTCTGAAATGTGTCTCCTGTAAATATTTTTACATATCAATATTGATCACAGTTGTGTGATAGATATTACTAATCCAGTATAAAAGTAGTGAGTTGTCAGAAACGTTCTCACTTCGAATATCATATTCTATTTCAAAGTCTTCTTGTAATACTCGAATAGAATGAAATCAGTTATCATGTGAAATAGATATGAAGTCAAAATTGTTTAAATATAGATAATTCTATTGTTGTATAAAAAACCCATGAAAATACATTAATGAATTATATACAAATAATATTAAATATACTACTTCTTATATATATGTATGTGAATTTAGATACAGCATTTAGCATGTAATTGTTATTTTTCTATAGTATGGTTTCTCTTCTTGGATTCTCCTCTCCTTTCTTTTATGAAATCACACAGGTATATATCTATGTATGTTTATGACAATACATTATGCTCTTGATTTTGAAAACAAAATAAACTGCTCATACTCAATTACATGTTACGAATATATTAAATATTTTTACAGAACAAAAACAATAATATTCCTCTCGTTTCTTGTCTGTAATCTACGGACGTATTTACAATCTTTTTCTACTATCTATTTAACTGAAAAAGTCACCAGCAATAATAATATTCAATTTTCTTTATAAATTGTTTTAATTGTTTGAGTTTCGTGTTAGCTTATATTTTTCTCATATAGAAAGATAACAGATGCATTGAGTATTATTTTATTCATCTGATTAATTTTACAAGAAAAAGTATATTTATCGTACAGCTTGGTTCACTCTTACGACGCACACGATATACATATCAATCATTTCAAATATAAGAGAATCAGATAAGTCACCTGTTATGAAAAACAAAATAGGTAGATAGATGATGTTTAAATTTACAACTGCATATATCTTACATAAACTGTAGATAGTTTAGATACTAATTAAATATCTCGTTAACTATATGCCAGAAACAGTTCATATAATTAATTTACTATAAATAACTTTTTCATTGTCAATCGCAGATTAGATAACAGTGTTGATTTCTCTGTGATGAGAAATTATGTATATGATGAAAATAGTTTTTAGTTGATTATATAAAAAGTTATACTCTGATGCTTTTGTCTCGAATCGACAATATAAACAATCAGAGATCTATTTTGTTTTTTTGTTCTATATAAATAATAAATTCTTTTTATAATTCATTTAGTTCATATTTATTTGAGTTTCATAAAAATTACTTACTAAACTAGGAATGTCATTTATCTGAAATTCAATTTACGCATGAATTAAATTAAAATGAAAGTAAATAAGCACCCCCTATGTTCAGTCTAATCAGTATATTTCAATGAATTGAATTGTATTTAATTGAGAAATTAAAAGTCATGACTGAAAAAGTTTAAATGAAAAAACTTTTAAGATTTAAATTATGATCGTATTCCTTCATAACTTTTTAAGTAGTTTGATAACAAGCATTCTACGCATGCCTGAAAAGTCAAGTGATGCTCAAAATATGCATTGTTTTTCTCTTTTCAAAGAAATCTTCAATAGAATCAAATTAAGAACTACTTGCGACTTTCTTTAAACGAGTAATTCCTAAAAATAAGTACTTATAGTTTAATTTCCGCATAAATTAAACTAGAATAAATATATTAATTCTATTTATATACATATAATATGTACTTGTGTGCAACAAATCTCTGTTCTACTTCTTTATGTCAATGTAATCTAGAATGGTTTTTGTACTTTTTTCTTTAAAAATCATGTGATTAGATTGGGATGTCAGATACACACATTTTAATTATCAACAGCATCTGTACTGAACAGGATTATCTTGTTATTTACATTTATCAAGAAAAATTTTTATATTATAAAAAATATATACGTCAGATAGGTCCAGAATATTTTTATTAATTGTAACTATTTTTTCTTTGAAGCATATCTTCACTAGTATATTATATAAGAAAATTTTAAATGCAAACTTTCTGAACTCTATTCATTATTTACTGCAAGTCTGTATGAAGTAAGTGAAAAAGTAAATATTATTTCCTTATTACATATTCTGAAGCAGAATATGAGATATAGGATGAAGAAGCTAGAATATAAGTAAAACTATTGTCATAGTATGCGACAAACTTCTTCGATGTAATGAATTATCTATATTAGTTTAGAATTATTATATTCGATTCGTAAGTAAAATTTGAAGTCATATATAATTAGCATACTCATATTAATCAACACTCTTGTTGAGATAGTCTGTAACCCCTACAGATAATAGATGAATAATGTAGTTAACAAGATTTTTAATAGTATTATCGATGTAAAACTGAAGCGCAGATTAGACGCATTCAAGCGATTTACAGACACCTAAAATGCGTCGGAGCACGGTTTTAAATAAAAATAAAGTAACGTTATAATAATCTTTGCATTACTCTTGTAAAAACAGACTATAATTATTTTTTATATTTTAATTTCTTTATAAAAGGAGAAGTCTGATTTGTATGTTTAACGACTTTCTTATGAAAAAAGATATACATCGGATAGGCTCATTAATTGAAGTAAGTAGATTTATACTCAAAAATCTTGTTTTCTAGTCTGGTTCACCGCACAATTGAATCGTATATGTAAAAATAAAATAATTATTCTATTCATATGCCGTTTGAGATAATGATGATGATGATGATGACACAGCATGAATCTACAGGAATAGAACGATTTTTTCCACACTTGTAACCACTTAAAGACATAATAATCATGATTTTAAAGAAATAAAGAGAATTAGATTAATAAATGTTAATAAATATCAGAAAAATTTCATAGATGGAAATATTATTGATGAGATTTTAATGATTATACTATAGTTTATAGATAATATATAGATTCATTTTCGAAATGTCATCAATACAAGAAATTCTTAATACAACTCAACTTGTGCTTAGTCGATATATACTACCTATCTGCCTTATTTTGGGAATATTTGGTAATGTTTGTAATATTTGTATTTTTATTCAAAAAAAGCTGCGCGTAAATGCTTGTTCAATTTATTTTCTTGCTGCATCTTCTGTCAATTTATTGATTATTATTTTTGGAATTATTCCAACTATATCTGCATCTTACATAGCTGATCCTTCGCTTTATTTAACATGGGCTTGTAAATTAAAATTATATGGATTACATTCTTTATTAATGATGTCTCGTGTATATATTACTTTGGCTTGTATTGATCAATATTTTTTCTGTTCAGCAAATCCTCGCTTACGTCAATTCAGTGGTCGAAAAGTTGCATTAATAGCAGTACCTATTGTACCAGTAGCATGGCTTCTTATACCTATTCATATGTTGATCTTTGTTGATGTTCAGATACCATATGTTAAATGTGGAACATCAGGAGTATATAGTTTAGTTTATAGTATATATTCATTTGTTTGTTCATCAATACCTCTCATTCTTATGATTATCTTTTCTGCGTTGGCATTCTATAATTTACGTAAATTAAGTCAACGTGTTGTACCTGTTGCTAATACTCAATCATCAGTAGCAAATACTCGCATAAAAAAATATGATTATCAAATAATGGTTATGCTTATATTTGAAGTGGTTATTTATCTTATTTCGAATGTTCTTCATCCAACCAATACACTTTATATGACATTGACAGCAGTTCCAAAAGGTAGTCCACCAAAAAGTGCATTACGTTTGTCTATTGAAGGTTTTGTTACTTATCTTACATGGGGCTTTTTAATCTACATTAATTCATGTTTAACATTCTATATTAATTTTTGTGTATCAAAAGTTTTTCGATCACGATTCTATTATTTATGCATTTTTGTTTTCAATTGGTGTAAATATGGTCAAAGAGGACAACTTCAGAATCGAGTTCACCCTATGGATGTCTCGGCAACAGTGAAATTTACCCGGGCACAACAATAAGATCATCTATAAATTTAACATTAACATCTTATCAGAACAATTTCCACAGTATTTCTTATTTAAATCGCTTTTGATGTTGTTAAGTGTAATCTTCGTTTTTAGTTTGTCTCATATGTATCTTATCTATTGAAAAATATATTAATCATGAAAGAAAATCTCTATTGAATCAAACAATACTCACACTCACAAATCCATCTTATAGATTTCCTGTACCTGGGATTGATCTTCGGATATGTTCATTTTCGACGTTTTCTCAGTATGTCAAAAACGTCATATGGTAAGATAAAGTTGAACAAGAGTGCGAATGTAATTGAATGATACTTTTAGACGATTACTTATCGTTTCTACACACCCATCTCCATAGAAGTCAAATAATAATCCTAAATTATTCGCAACTAAAATAATCTTCTCATGAATCTAATGAAAAATTTTTATTATTATGTCGACGGTGTGAATGTTGATGAGAGCAGAAATGAATATCCACACCCACAAGATAGAAATATATTTTTAAATCCTCATTAATAAAAAAAGATCGCAAGACAAATTATTGAAAAACATGTGAAATCTAGAGATTGTGTTACGTCTGTAGTGGAGTGACTGTGATAAACTATTCAGTATTGTATTATGATGTTGGAGGAAGATAGATAGCTACCAAAAATGGATTAATAAGACTTGATCTCATTTGCAACAATACTCCGTCGACCTTCATTCTATATGTTTACAAGATCATATTACAATGCATTGCGTACGGAAGCGTTTTTGTTTTCATTTTCATTTTTTCAACGAAGACAACACATAAAAAGTTCAATCACTTTGCAAATCTTCTAAAGACGACATTCTAATTATTTTCTTAAATGCAGAAAAAGGAAAAAATAAGTGGATAGATCGCTACTTATACGGTAGACGAATGTTGAGGTGATTGACTATTGATTATTTGCTATCTTCAATCATTAATATCAATATTTAGTAGTGGACTCAAATACTTATTATGTCATTCATTCAATATCTTGTTACATCAATAAACTTTATTGACATTGATTATGCATTCATTTGTATTACGTTTTAATCTCACCTTCAACATTAC